AAAAAGAGGCACAACAAGTGCATCTAGCTGTTTTCAAACCATTCAGAGAGCGCTGCTGCCACCTGCTGGCTCGATTCAATATGCTCTCAAGCTTATCCCCAAACATATTAGATATAATAGACATCTGGGAACATGAAAATAGCGGAAAACGCAATTGACGTAATAGTGCGTCAATGGCAGGCAACGGGCCATGTAAAATTCATTCGCGGGCCTTGACTTTGACACATGTGCTCTATGGTCTCTCTCTGGTCTCTCTCTTGTCTCTCTATGGTCTCTCTATGGTCTCTCTGTTGTCTCGCTCTGGTCTCTCTCTCTGGTCCCTCTGTTCTCTCTCTTGTAAGTAAGTAAGTAAGTAAGTAAGTAATCTTTATTTGTATAGCACCTTTCACAGGCAAAGGCCACAAAGTGCTTCACAACACAGTTAAAACATCACAAAATTAAATACAATATAAAAAGGGTCAAAACAACACAGAAATCGTATCAGCCCAAAAATAGCTAATTAAAGGCTTGAACAAATAAATGAGACTTAAGATTGCTTTTAAAAGTATCAACAGAGTCAGTAGAGCGCAAAGAGGGCGGAAGATCGTTCCAAAGCCTGGGAGCAACAGCCTGGAAGGATCGGTCACCTCTTGTACGAAAACAAGTGCGTGGAACCTTTAGCAGATTTTGATCCATAGACCTCAGAGCCCGAGCAGGGGTGTGAGGCTGGATCAGAAAACTGAGGTAAGAAGGAGCTTGACCACGCAAGGCTCTGAAAACTAGAACCAAAATTTTAAACGTGATCCTATAGGACACTGGCAACCAATGAAGTTGTTTTAAAATAGGAGATATGTGGGTCCTCCTGTTAGTGCGGGTCAGAATTCTCGCTGCAGAGTTTTGCACTAGTTGCAGTCGAGAGAGCTCCTTCTTATTTAGACATGAAAACAAACTATTACAATAATCTAAGCGTGAAGACACAAATGCATGAATGATAAGCTCCAAATCATTACGTGCAACCATATTCCTAAGTTTAGAAATGTTCCTTAGTTGAAAGAAGCAGTTCCTTGTTAGCTGCTTACAGTGCTGGACTAATGACATGTCTTTGTCAAAGATGACGCCCAAGTTTCGAAGACTTGGCTTCGCTGACTGGCCTAAGTCACCCAGGTACTGTTTAATCCCCGGAATTGCATCATCAGGTGCGATAACCAGTGTTTCGGTTTTGTCTGCATTTAGCTGCAGAGAGTTATCACTGAGCCATTGTTTTATTTCCATTAGACAATGGAGCAGAGAGTCTAGCTTCTGGATTTCAGACGGCTTAAAGGAACAGTAAAGCTGGATATCGTCAGCAAATAGGTGGAAAGAAACATCACTGAACCTTTGGATGATCTTTCCCAAAGGAATCAAATACAACAAAAATAAGACAGGACCCAAAACGGACCCTTGAGGCACTCCGCACAACAAACCCACAGACTCAGACCTAATTTGGTTAGCTGTAACACTGAAGCTACGCCCCGATAAATATGAGGAGAACCACTGTAGAACTTGTCTCTCTATGGTCTCTCTCTTGTCTCTCTCTGGTCTCTCTCTTGTCTGATTTGGTTACAAAATTTTAGATTTTATAATACATGTTATTTTAGTCTTTAATGGACAAAGCGATCCATGGTACGTCTCCTTTAAAGGGAGGGTCCAGGGTTCTGATGGTCCCACATTCCTGGTTCGTGACACAGACTTTGGCTTCAGTTAAAACTAGTTTGAGGTTGTGTTCCTGGTCCTCAGAGTCAGGACACAAGTGAAAAATGTGTTTTCTACAAGAACTGTGTAAGATCTGGGACCACACCCTCCAGCTGCATGTGACATCACTGTGAGGATCAGACCAGGACCAGAGACACCAGACACCAGACACTAGACACTAGACACCAGAGACACTAGACACCAAAGAGACCAGAGAGAGACCAGAGAGAGACCAGAGAGAGACCAGAGAGAGACCAGAGAGAGACCAGAGAGAGACCAGAGAGAGACCAGAGAGAGACCAGAGAGAGACCAGAGAGAGACCAGAGAGAGACCAGAGAGAGACCAGAGAGGGACCAGAGAGAGACCAGGAACTTTGAGGTTCATGTTAGGAGAAGGAAGTACTCAATTGGACCCAGACCAAGGCCCAGAGACGGACCCAGAACTAGACCTGACCCAAGACCAGACCTAGGTCGTCTCTCGTTCACACGTTTGAGAGAATAATCTGCAGATGATTTTCACATTTCTCACATTCTTCTTTGGCCTGTTCTGTGTTTGGCGTCTGTTTTGCATTAGCCGTTTTGTTATGCTAGCTCCAGATGTGTCGCTGGGCGTGTGAGGCCACAGCTGTACTGATGCATTCTGGGATAGAACAGCTGGACTCCATCACACTAACCTTCTCCTGCTCTTTATCACTGGCTTTTCACATGTATACAGAACCATGCTAACACAGAATGTATACAGATCCATGATACAGATGGACAATGCTAACACAGACTGTATACAGATGGACGATGCTATGTGTTTGTTATAAATGCATTTCCTGTTTGATTCTCTGATCTGTTGTTGGTGGATCAACAACTTTGTCCTCCAAGAAGACTGCTGTTGGGATTTAGGGCTATACACAAATAAATTGAATTGAAATGAGGCAATCTCTGATCCCCTGGGGCCTAGACGCTGCTGGTGGAACAGGAGCTGATTTTTCTCTCATTGAACACTCACACATACAGAGAGGCCGGTAACATACACACACAGACACACTCACACATACAGAGAGGCCGGTAACATACACACACAGACACACTCACACATACAGAGAGGCCGGTAACATACACACACAGACACACTCACACATACAGAGAGGCCGGTAACATACACACACAGACACACTCACACATACAGAGAGGCCGGTAACATACACACACAGACACACTCACACATACAGAGAGGCCGGTAACATACACACACAGACACACTCACACATACAGAGAGGCCGGTAACATACACACACACACACACACAGACACAGGCGCACAAATACACTGACACATACAGAGAGGCCGGTAACACACACACACTCACACATACACGTAGAGGCACACACACACTCACACATACAGAGAGGCCGGTAACACACACACACACACACACACACACACACACATACACAGAGGCCGGTAACACACACACACACACACACACACACACACATACACAGAGGCACAAACACACTCACACATACAGAGAGGCCGGTAACACACACATACAGAGGCACAAACACACTCACACATACAGAGAGGCTGGTAACACACACACAGACAGACGCATAAACACACTCACACATACACATAGAGGCTGGTAACACACAGACACAGACGCACACACACACTCACACAAACAGAGGCTGTAACACGCACGCACACTCTCCTACGGGGATCAATAAAGTATCTATCTACACACACACACACATACACACATAGAGGCTGGTAACACACACATACAAACATACTGTAGAGGCTGGTAACACACACACACACCCTCCCCCCTCCCACGCATCAGCTGTTCTTGTATCAGTCTCAATTCACAGAAATGTCATGTCGGTGTCCCGGAAACTTCAGTCTCACTCTGACGGTAACAGGAGCAACACTGGTATATACAGCAGCAGAAGCAGTAGTAGTACTAGTGTGTGCAGTAGTAGTACTAAGACAGTATCCTGGAGACATGGAGAGGTACTATGCGTGCTGTGTGTTCAGGATGGCGGCTCCAAAGGGACAAAAACCGTAAGAACCCACTTAATTTCAATTCTATGTATTCTTGTATTGCCTTAAATCACAACAGTAGTTTCCACAGAGACTTAACAAAACCGTTTAAATCGCCAACACAGATTAGGGGGAGTTGATCAATGTTCTTAATTGTTGTAGAAGGTTGGGTGTCCTGGATCATCACATTGATTCAAACTCTGCTGTTGTTGTGTCTTTGGGCAAAACACTTCACTCGCATGTGTTTGAACTGATCTGTTTACTGTACTGGAAATTTTTGTTTGGGTTGCAGTGTTTTGGTCTTGGTCTTGGTCTGGGTCTGGGTCTGGTCCATTTTCTGGTCTTGTCTGTCATAATAAAAAAATGCCCTTCCCCTGGGATCAAGGCACCACCGCTAAGATGCACAGATGGACAATGCTAACGCTAGCTCAATGAAGCCCAATAGAGAAGTGCTCACAGTGAAGTATTGACTTCCATGTAAAAGTAAACTCCTCTAGCTCAGTATCGTCTGTGTGACATCACCGTTTTTGGCTTAAATCTGTGGTTTATTGCTCTCTGTGATCCTGCTGTTTATATGTGAGATAAGGGCCAATCAGAGGCCTTGATTTACAACAACTGATCCATATTTCTTTGATCTCTCGCCGGTCTTTTTCGCTGGTCTCCCTCTCTGGTCTCTCTCTCTGGTCTCTCTCTCCGGTCTGTCTCTTTGGTCTTTCTGGTCTCTCTGGTCTCTCTCTAGTCTCTCTCTCTAGTCTCTCGCTCTGGTCTCTTTCTCTGGTCTCTCTCTAGTCTCTCTCTCGTCTCTCTCTCTAGTCTCTCGCTCTGGTCTCTTTCTCTGGTCTCTCTCTAGTCTCTCTCTCTAGTCTCTCGCTCTGGTCTCTTTCTCTGGTCTCTCTCTGGTCTCTCTGTGGTCTCTCTCTCTAGTCTCTCGCTCTGGTCTCTTTCTCTGGTCTCTCTCTCTAGTCTCTCGCTCTGGTCTCTTTCTCTGGTCTCTCTCTGGTCTCTCTGTGGTCTCTCTCTCTAGTCTCTCGCTCTGGTCTCTTTCTCTGGTCTCTCGCTGGTCTCTCTCTCTGATCTCTCTCTCTGGTCTCTTTCTGATCTTTCTCTCTGGTCTCTTTCTGGTCTCTCTCTGGTCTCTCTCTGGTCTATCCCTGTTACAGCACGAAGCTAATGCAATCCTAACAAAACTTTAAGGCTAACACTGGGGTGATGTCACACTCTCTCTCTCTAACCCTGTCCCTGTCTTCTCCTCAGCAGCAGTGTGGGGGCGCCGCAGAGCCCAGAGATGAACAAACTGCGTCAAAGTCTGAGGAGGAAGAAGCCGGCGTACGTCCCAGAGGCCAGCCGTCCACACCAGTGGCAGAGCGACGAGGAGGAGGTGAAGAGGAGCCGCTGCAGCTTCAGCGTCAGGGTGAGGAGGTGGTGCTGTGAGCAGGAGGTGGTGTAGAGGAGGAGGTGGTGAAGCGGGACTGCTGCAGATTCATTGTCAGGGTGAGGAGGGTTCAGGGGTGAGGAGGTGCTGTGAGGAGGAGGAGGTGGTGGTGAAGAGGAGGAGGTGGTAAAGAAAAGGAGGTGGTGAAGAGGGGCGGCTGCAACTTCATTGTCAGGGTGAGGAGGAGGTGATGAAGAGGAGGAGGTGGTGAAGGCTGCTGCAGCTTCAGTGTCAGGGTGAGGAGGTGGTGATGAAGAGGAGGAGGTGGTGAAGGCTGCTGCAGCTTCAGTGTCAGGGTGAGGAGGTGGTGATGAAGAGGAGGAGGTGGTGAAGGCTGCTGCAGCTTCAGTGTCAGGGTGAGGAGGTGGTGATGAAGAGGAGGAGGTGGTGAAGGCTGCTGCAGCTTCAGTGTCAGGGTGAGGAGGTAGTGTGATGAAGAGGAGGAGGTGGTGAAGGCTGCTGCAGCTTCAGTGTCAGGGTGAGGAGGTGGTGATGAAGAGGAGGAGGTGGTGAAGGCTGCTGCAGCTTCAGTGTCAGGGTGAGGAGGTGGTGATGAAGAGGAGGAGGTGGTGAAGGCTGCTGCAGCTTCAGTGTCAGGGTGAGGAGGTGGTGATGAAGAGGAGGAGGTGGTGAAGGCTGCTGCAGCTTCAGTGTCAGGGTGAGGAGGTGGTGAAGAGGGGCCGCTGCAGTTTCAGACGTGAGAAGAAAAAGGTGTGAATTCTCTGCTGCTCTGACCTCCACTTCCTGCACGTACATTCAGACATGTGCAGTAGAACAAACGTAAACAACAATGGCGGCGGGTCGACTCATGCTACGTGTGGCTGCCGGATTCGTCCCGGAAACCGGATTCGTCCGGAAGTTCAGTTTGCGCATGTCAAAAAGTGTAAATAAACATGTAAACAGTTTGTGTTGTTATATACAGATTATATTCTTGATTTGTGCAAATATGTATCAAGGTTTATTACGAGAAATGGCGGAAAAAGAGCTCCGAGAAAAAAATACATTTAGTAGCCACGAAGCTAACGCCCAGATGCGTTCAAAGGCACACGGAAATGAGGCAAACACAGACAGTTTAATTCTTGATCAGATTCACTGTCCTTTACTTGTTTAAATATCATACACCTGTTATGTAGATCCCTGTGTTTATTTATTAGTATTTAATAGTGAAGGACAGTGAATCTACTCAAGAATTAAACTGTCTGTGTTTGCCTCATTTCCGTGTGCCTTTGAACGCATCTGGGCGTTAGCTTCGTGGCTACTAAATGTATTTTTTTCTCGGAGCTCTTTTTCCGCCATTTCTCGTAATAAACCTTGATACATATGTGCACGAATCAAGAATATAATCTGTATATAACAACACAAACTGTTTACATGTTTATTTACACTTTTTGAAATGCGCAAACTGAACTTCCGGACGAATCCGGTTTCCGGGACGAATCCGGCAGCCACACTATGTGTGCTTCGCTAATGGAGGAAAATTCTTCTTCTTCGTCCAAACTAAACTACGAGAAGTTCTAGTTTCAGTTTCCATTTTTGCTGCTGTTAAATGCAGAATGATGTTGGTTCTTTCCCGTCTTTGCGGCGGCCTGAGGAGGATGTTGTTGAGGAAGTGGTTCTACTGCTGGGGGTCGAGTGTGTCGTGGTGTAAAGTTCCACTGCCCCCTACTGGCCGCAAGCTAGAATTGTTTTCCATCGTCGTTTAATTGCTTTGCAGCGTCTCCGTCTAAACGGGGCCTGAGTGTGAGGGTGTGTGTGCAGATGGATGATGCTAACACACGCTAACATAATATACTGTATAAGAGTGTGTTTCAGTACCTGGTGAGGGTGTTGTAATGGTACCTGTGTGTGTGTGTGTGTCTCAGTACCTGGGGCTTGTGGAGGTGGAGGAGTCCAGGGGGATGCACGTGTGTGAAGAGGCCGTGAAGAAACTTAAAGCTGTGAGTTTAAACCAAGACGGCTCATCGGGTTTAAACTGAGTCTGAGTCTAAAGTGTGTGTGTCTGTTTGTGTGTGTGTGTCTGTGTGTTTAGAGCGGGAGGAAGACCGTGAAGGCCGTGCTGTGGGTGTCTGCAGATGGACTGAGAGTTGTGGATGAAAAAACTAAGGTACAGACCTCACATTACACCTGTGATGTCACATCACACTTGTGATACACCTGGTGGATCCCAGACTCTCATGGTCTCCTTTGCCTTAGGACCTGATCGTGGACCAGACCATCGAGAAAGTCTCATTCTGTGCTCCAGACAGAAACTACGACAAAGCTTTCTCCTACATCTGCAGAGACGGGACCACGAGGAGATGGATGTGTCACTGCTTCATGGCTATCAAGGACTCGGTGAGACCATAGCGAGACCATAGCGAGACCATAGCGAGACCATAGCGAGACCATAGCGGGACCAGAGCGGGACCAGAGCGAGACCATAGCGAGACCATAGCGAGACCATAGCGAGACCATAGCGAGACCATAGCGAGACCATAGCGAGACCAGAGCGAGACCAGAGCGAGACCAGAGCGAGACCAGAGCGAGACCAGAGCGAGACCAGAGCGAGACCAGAGCGAGACACCAAGAGAAACTAAGAAATAAGTTTGATAAATATAGGTTTTAGGGAAAGTTATTTTAATCTGCGATCACAAATTGGTTGCAGTTAATCGACATGAATCAGCTCAGACTCTGAAGACGATGTTTGCAGGTTACATTTGCTGAACGAGAAAAATGTGGTTCAGATTTGGCGCTTGGACTCTGACAAAGACCTGCATGATGATGCAGAAGTGGAAATGTAAATAAAGATTACCCCAGGTGCATGAGGGGTGATGGGGAGGAGGAGGGTTGCTGCACGAATAAAAGCTTCTGTTATAATGACTGCTTCCTGTACAATATGAGGCTTGATGCTGCTGTCCTCTCTGGTCTCTGGTCTCTCTCTCGCTCTCTCTCTCTCTCCAATTTTTTTCTGGTCTCTTCCTGATCTCTCTAACGATCCTACAAACAATGGTCTGCGGTCTCCTCCTCGTCTCTTTCTGGTCTCCCCCTAGTCTCCTCCTGGTACCTCCCTGTTCCCTCACTGGTCTTTCTCTGGTCTCACTCTAGTCTCTTCCTGGTCTCCGCCTGGTCTCCTCCTGGTCCCTGGTGTGTTATGTGGGGCAGGTCTGTGAAGGATTATAGGCCAGAGCTGGATTAGCAGTGGCTTAAACTGATGAGTTGGAAACAGAAATCCTTCGTCACTGTTCTCTCTGCATCTTTACACAAAATATCTAATCTTTACTTTAAGAAAGATCCCTGAGAGTCGCTATCTGCCTCTTTGGGCTGAGAGCTGATTGGCTGAGAAAGGGTGGTCCTCTCTTTGATCTAAAAATGTGACAGAAGCAACTGTGTCAGAGCCAGAACCAGAGACATGGGTTTAATACAGCTCTGTGGTTGTGGGAAAACACTTTTGTACAGTAAGATTTAAAACTGGTCTGGGTCTGAGTCTGGGTCTGGTTCTGGGTCTGGTTCTGGGTCTGGTTCTGGGTCTGGGTCTGGGTTACCTTTCTCTCTTGGTCTTTCCTCTGGTCTTTCCTCTGGTCTCTCCTGGTCTCTCCTCTGGTCTCTCCTGGTCTTACCTCTGGTCTGTTCAGGTCTTTCCTCTGGTCTCTCCTGGTCTTACCTCTGGTCTCTCCTGGTCTCAGGGGGAGCGGCTGAGCCATGCGGTGGGCTGTGCGTTTGCTGCGTGTCTGGAACGTAAACAACGGCGAGAGAAAGAGTGCGGCGTCACCGCGTCCTTCGACGCTTCACGGACCTCGTTCGTACGAGAAGGATCCTTCAGAGGCACCTCCTCCTGCACCTCCTCCTCCACCTGCACCTCGACCTCAGTTCAGCCGGCCGAGGAGAGGACACCAGACAGGAGGAGAGGTACGAGACCGAGGCCATGGCTCATGTGTGTTTAAGAAAGATCTCTGTGACTTTGACTCTTTGGTCTGAAAGCTGGTCTCTCTCTCTGGTCTCTCTCTCTGGTCTCTCTCTCTGGTCTCTCTCTCTGGTCTCTCTCTCTGGTCTCTCTCTCTGGTCTCTCTCTGGTCCTGATTGTTCTCTCTCTGGTCTCTCTCTGGTCCTGATTGTTCTCTCTCTGGTCTCTCTCTGGTCCTGATTGTTCTCTCTCTGCTCAGACCATGTGGCCTTAGTCCCCTCGCTCCCTCCTTCGCCTCCAGAGGGCGCTGCGTCCCCCATGGAGCGCCCTGAGCCTGGGGGAGGAGCCACAGCAGGGGGAGGAGCTGCTATTCCACGCCGCCACGCCCCGCTGGAGCAGCTGGTGCGACAGGGCTCGTTCAGAGGGTTCCCGGCCCTCAGCCAGAAGAACTCCCCCTTCAAGAGACAGCTGTCACTCAGGCTCAACGACCTGCCCTCCACCTTGCAGCGCAAGACCGACTTTCAGACCACTGACACAGGTAGAACATGCAAATACATACACATAGAACATTCAAATACACACACACAGACAGGTAGAACATGTAAATACACACACACAGAACATGCAAATACACACACAGAACATGTAAATACACATACACAGAACATGCAAATACACTTACATAGAATATGTAAATACACACACAGAACATGCACAAACACACACACAGAACATGAAAGTACACGCACACACAGGTAGAACATGTAAATACATACATATGGAGCTATTATTGTTTCAATAATATTTTTTTCAAGATTTTTATTTGTCAAACCAAGTGAATGGTTTGAAATTATATTTCTCTCATCCTTGATTGTGGAGCAGGGGGTGGGAGGGAGGGCAGGGAGTTCAGCTTCCTGATGGCCTTGTGAATGAAACTGTTTTTAAGTCGACTGGAACTGTTCCGTAAATTCTGCAGTCTCCTCCCTGAAGGCATTACCCTGAAGAGCCTGTGTGATGGGTGCGTAGGGTCCCTGGTGATTCTGACGGCTTTGCGGGTGAGACGGGTGGAGTACATGTCCTTAATGGTGGGGAGAGGGGCTCCACAGATCTTCTCTGCTGCTCTCACGATGCGCTGGAGGCTCCTTCGGCAGGAGGCAGTGCTGGTGCCGTGCCACCCAGTGATGGAGCTGGTCAGGATGCTCTCTACAGTCCCTCTGTAGAAGTTGCACACAACGGAGGCCGGGACTCCTGTAGCGCCTCTTGTGACGCCTCCACTGTGCTGCAGATGCGTGGGGCCCTCGGTGACCTGTCAGCGCTTCAGAAGATGATATCTCTGGATTTGTAGGTCTTAAATACTGCTCAAAAAGCCTTTAGCTCAGATGCTAACTGTGTGTTTACTTAACACATCCTCTGTTCATTGCTAGTAAAGAGCTTTGGCATTAAAAAATCTGCTGAACTCCACAAAAACATGGCAAAGATGTACAACAACATCTTGCAAAACAATGCGGATCACAAAAACTGCAAATGCAGTTTGCAGAAAAGGGTAGAAAAGGGTAGAAACGTCACCTTGTCAAGAGAGAGAGAAGCCGCAGCATGTTCATGCGCCGCCATGGTAACGCCAATATTTGTGTGTGCGTAAACAGATTTGTGTGTGCTTAAAAAGATTTGTGCGTGTGTAACCAGATTTGTGTGTGCGTAAAAAGATTTTTTTTTTTACACACGAATCTTTTGACGCAGTCCTGCCTTCGCAGATTTGCAAGTGTAACTTGGACTGTGTGCGTCTGTACCCAGATTTGTGTGTGTGTAATTTGACATTTGTATCTGTAGCAGAACAATCTGTGTGTAAATAACCACGTTGTACGGCTACGCACAGGCTCCGTTTTACACACAAATCTCTTTTTGACACACCTCTGCCGCTTAGCGTGTGTCAAAAAGATTCGTAAGTGTAATGTGGTTGTTCTAGCAGTACACCAGCAGATGGTGCTGTTGTAGCTGGTTATTACCTACACGCAAGCAAACCAAAACCTACTGCCTTGACAAGACACACTACTGCAGCTGCTGTTAATATTTTTTTCCTATATTCAAAATCCTGTCATTCACACCACTGTATGATACATGGATCTATTATAATAACTGGTTTGGGTGTTACTAGCTTGGAGCTGAAGGATTCTCGCGTACTGCAGACTAAATTCACGTGGGCTACACAGAAATTTTCCCCATAGAACTCAAAGTAAACTAAAACAGCTGAGAGAACTTACAGCTTTCATAAAGGTCGGATTTTGTGGGAATTTTAGTGTCCCTTGTCATCCTGAACATTTCTTCTTCTTAAATCCTTCGGTTTTTTCTATCTACACTATAGTGCTACAAACTCTGCTGGTTTGCTTGCGTGTATTGACCAGATGCATCAACGTCATCCAGTCACGTGATTGTGAATGAGCTTACGGCGGATGTATTGGAAACTAGCATTTCTGCAAGAGCAAAGGACTACAACTCTTAAAAACGGAGCTTCCTCTCCTAAATCGAGAAGTGGCTGCTTCAAGCACATGTTCGATTACGTTATAGGTGGAAGTAGGACATCAGGTCAGGGCTCACAAAGAGTGGTATTTGGAGAAGTTAAGGATTGCCTAACTGGATGTTGACCCGTGCCTTCTCCCCCCAGTCAATTGTATTGATTAAATGAAATGTCTATTTTTGCCCAAATTCACCCTACATGATCTTTATCATTATCGTTAACAATGCACCCCCTCACACTGGAGCAGATTTATATGTACATTTTGCTGGTAGCATTAGCAATAGTCCACTTTTCTGTGGCTTTTCTGTCTACAGCCAAACATGATACGTACTGACGGAGAGGAAAATAGTGAAACACGCAATTGACTTAAAAGATAAAAATGTCAATGTTGCAGCGCACATACAGGACAGTAGTAAGAGACACGTTTGACGTGTGTCATTGTCCTCCAAATTAATGGAAATAATAATAAATAAATACAAACTTGTGATTGCTTTATCTTGTAAAAAGTGTTCACTGCATGTTAGGGAGTACTTGGATGGGTCCCAGTCCTTTTGGTTGATTGCCGCTGGCCATCGTCGTCTTCTGTCTTCATGACGAGCAGGTATCAGATAAAAAAGCTTATGTCCTTGCCTGTTAGTATAATCAACCGCACTGCAAAATGTCACAGTTTTGGCTGTAATGCGCTGAAACAGGTTGTTTTGGTCAGGTCTCCGTAGGCTCGCAATTAGACTTCGGCCCCGTCCCTATACATAGTTCCCACAGACCAATGAATGTCACATGACCTCCTCGGAGACGCCATCTTTGATGGCACGCTGCTGTGTTTGTGCATTCCATTAAACAGAAGAATGAGAATAAATGTAGATATTCAAACGCAAATTGGAAAAAAAGGGCAACTTTTGAGCAAATAATTGTATATTAATACAATGGCACCACAGTTTAACGTGCTACGGACATGTTTTACATATTTGATCAAATTATGCAGCAAAAATTAACAAGCAATGCAAACATTTCTCAAAAACTTTAGATTTAATACCAGTTGGAGCTCCATTTAATTATTTGAATTATATAAATGGCAGAGGGGCCAACAAAGACAGTGAAGTAGTACTACAAATTGAAAGCCAGTTGGTGAAAGATCCAGCCACTGTGGCAATGGAATTTAATAACTTTTTTAAAGACTCAGTCTCTGAAATTTCGCAACTTTTTACATTACATGAAAATGTCACCTATCCGGTGAATGAGTCCTTACCTATTTTCACAATAGCAGAAATTAATGAGACTGAAGTAGCATCAATTATAAAAGGTTTGAAAAACTCTAAAGCAAAGGACGTCTATGGGATAGATGCCAATTTTATAAAGGCTCATAAAGATATTTTAGTGTGTCCAATCACTCGTATGATAAATATATCAATTAGACATTCTATTGTACCAACAGCTTGGAAAGTTGCCACAATTACTCCAATCTTTAAGTCAGGGAATAAGAATAATGTAAATAATTACCGGCCAATTAGCATTTTGCCCATTATTTCAAAAATTATTGAAAAATGGGTTGCTAAACAATTGACAACTCATTTAGACAAGGGTCATACACCTCTGCATCCCATGCAGTTTGGTTTTCGTGCCAAATACTCAACAGAAAGTGCGATAAATCTGTTTTTAGAAAAAGTGAAACATGGTTTAGATTATTGTCCTGTTGTTGGAGCTGTTTTTCTTGATTTAAAGCGAGCATTTGATACAGTTGACCACCAAATTTTATTATCTAGACTAACGAAGTTTAATTTCTCAGAACAAGCCGTAACTTGGATTAAGTCATACCTGTCAACTCGAACTCATTGTGTGACAGTCAGTGGTATCAAATCTACGTTTCTAAACTGTCAGGTTGGAGTTCCACAGGGTTCCATACTTGGACCCATACTGTTTTCATTATATATTAATGACTTACCAAATATTTGTCCACATTTCCATACCCAGCTTTATGCAGATGATGCAGTCATTTTTACCAATGCAAAATCTAATGCCGAAGTCTCCGAAAAATTGACTTCAGCAATGTGTTGCATTGATGAGTGGCTCAGTAAGTCTTGTCTTTTACTGAATTCAAAAAAAACTGTGTGTATGTTTTTCTCCAAACGCCCAACAGCAAGAATAAGCTCAAATGTATTTATAAAAGGTGAGGAGCTACAGATTGTGGACAAGTTTAAATATCTTGGTGTTATCTTAGACTCAACGTTATCTTTTAAAAATCATGTTAAGCATATGTGTAAAATTGTAAATTTTAATCTTCGTAATTTTAGACAAATCCGAACATTACTGCCAGAAAATGCAGCTAAAATGTTTCTTCATTGTATGATCTTTTCACATATTGAATATTGCATTACTAACTGGTCACTGACGAGTCTGACTACTTTAAAACCAATTGAGTCTCTATATAAAAAAGCTTTAAAAATATTTGATAAAAAACCATATTCATTTCATCATTGCTTAATACTTGAAAAATATAATATTCTAAACTTTGAAAATTTTAGAACATTTAAAATGGCTTGTTCAGTTTATAAGATTTTGCATGGACTCTCTCCACCATCCTTGAATGAATTCATTAAGTTCATATCCAGTACAAGTGGTAGAGTGACCAGAGCCACCACCAGAAGTGACTGTGTGGTTCCTTATAGACGCACAGCGTTTAGTCAACAGGTGCTGTCAGTGAAAGGGACCACGGTATGGAACAGCATCCCAACAGAAATTCGAGACTGTACTACATTCATAGTATTTAAAACTAAACTTAAAGGTTGGCTGAAGGGGAATCAGACATGTAACCACTGACCAGTATCTTTGTTTTATGTCTCCAGTTTAATTGTGTGGATGATTTGTGTGATGATCTTTTGTCTTTTAAATGTCGTATATTAGTCTTTGTATTTTCTTGATCTGCCAGGGACTACAGATGGAAAGTAGCCATTGGCTAATTCTGGCATATTTACATTTACATGTTCATTAATATGCATTGTCCCTTTAAATAAATAAATAAATAAAAATAA